AAAAAAAAATAAAAAAATATCAAAGTTTTATAAGCTCAAATGGTCGCCTTGCTCTGTTAGGGTTAGGGTGTGATGTGCGTTTGTGAATCTCCTATTCGAACTCGTTCATCAAAATGAACGAAACTTTTCCCAAGTCAACTCGTTCATTTCGTTCGTTGAATGAACCAAGTGACACGAAAAAAGATTTGTTCATTTTGACAAACGAATTCGAACAGGAGAATCAAAAACGCGCATCACAGAACAGAGCAAGGCGACCATTTGAGCTTATAAAACTTAAACTTTGTTTCTTTGTTTTTTTGTTGTTGTTTTTTTAAATGAGCGATCGTTTCGCTTGATAAGACCCTTATTCATAGTCTGAAATCCTTTGAACAGTTTGCAGTTTGCACTCAAGGTCTTTTGGACCTTGAACCGTTTGGTTCCCATTGAAGTCCATTATATGGAGAAAAATCCTGGAATGTTTTCATCAAAAACCTTAATTTCTTTTCAACTGAAGAAGAATGACATGGACTACTCCTTTAATAAAGACAAAAGCTAGCAACTACCTTCCCAGAACACCCTAACAACCATACAACTCCTCAATAAGCGCATAGCACCACGGGGAAACCACCCAGAACACTGTAGCATCAGGGCACCAACCTTTGCTCAAGCAAGCAATATAATCTCCGTTTCTTCAGAAAGTGTAAAAATGTAGGTGTCTGCATCGTTTCCTTCCAAAATAGTTCTTTTCTTTTCTTTTTTTTTATGTATTTATTTTGGCATTCTACATAAAAGCATTTGGAAGTTCTGTAGCGTATATCAGTTTCACACGAGTTTTTCTTAGCGTACAAAAAAGGTCAGGCGGAATCAGACCCCTCTTTGAGTTCTACAAATCTACCATAGAGCCCTGTGAACACACTCAACGAGATAGAGAGCCTCCCGTGGGACACGGCCACTACATGCTTGGCTCCTTCACAACAATCCCCTGATTAGCTCATTTAGAAACAATTTACCCTAACAAATAGCAGACATCATCAGCATCTCCCCATCTTACTTTCAGCAAAAAAGGCCGAGTCAGGCCAATATCAGAGCGGGCCGGCTTCATTGTAGTAGGTTATTTGCCTGCTGTAGATGCTATCAGCTACTCTACGTAGCGAAATTGGCCCACTAGGCCTGACCATTGAAAGACCCCATTCGGATTGTAACGCTTCATGTACAGTCCTTGTAACAGAGAAAAAAAGAACTGAGATGATGAAGTAATTTAAAGTCCCTCTGGACCAAGTAATGAAAATAAACAAAATGGGGGGCAGAAAAGACTGGCTTTAAAAAAAAACGTTGCCTTGGCATTTTACCATTCTCTATGAACCATGATGTGCCAAGTCTGGAAAATCGTTTCTACAGAAGCACACACACATTTGCTCGCAAAATAAACTGGAACATGAAAAGGGGCCTGCATCTTGATTCTGAGCACTTGATGACGAGCGATTTTCCCAAAGCAATTAGCCCTGAAAGTCAACTTTGCAGCGACCGCGGGAGTCTAAGCTACACCGGCCACCCAACAAAGGAAGCACTGTCCGGCGAACTCCTGACACTGCCTCGCTGCGATGTTTGTTTATCAGCACATTAAACTGATGTTCTCCTGCCTATTCTGGCTGATCTGACATTGCAAACTAGTAATCCAGAGCGATGGAAGACGAACCGTGACTGCTGAGACAGCGCACAGAGAACACCTCGTATCACGTACTGCAGAAATGTCAAAATGTGGAATCTCAAAAAAGGGAAATGTACTGCACTTTATCTATCATGTTTACAAGACTAGCTATTTTATGTGAAGGAAAAAATGTGAAGGCAAAACAATGAGCCATAAAAGGACATAAGAGAGTGTTTGCTTTAAAGGGATGGTACACTTTGAAATTAATTTTTGGTATGTTTTAGCTTACCTCAAGGGCATCCAAGATGTAGGTGTCTTTGTTTCCGCAGTAGTTTCAATTTTGATATTTTAGGTCAAACCGTTCGTGTCTATCAGTCATGTAATGGAGGTCTATGGTCACCACCTCAAAGAGCATGCACGAAGTCTAAATTAAACATAATTTAATGACTCGTAAATGTAAGTACCCTAAAGAGCACCTTCAAAAACCTTTTTTAACTCCTTGAGCACTTCTTTTCTCTTTACAGTATTTATATCATTTTTACCTCTTGTAACCGAGGGTGCTTTGTAGCTGTGATAACAAGAGGTAAAAACGATATAAATACTGTTCATTTTCTCACACAAACCGCTCTTTCGTGTCTTAGGCCATCAATGTGTACTAATCATGTTTAATTTGGACTTCTCTGTGCATGCTCTTTGAGGTGGTGACCATAGACCTCCATTATATGACTGATAGACATGAACGGTTTGACCTAAAAATATCAAAATTGAAACTACTGCGGAAACAAAGACACCTACATCTTGGATGCCCTTGAGGTAAGCTAAAACATACCAAAAATGAATTTCAAAGTGAACTATCTCTTTAATACACAACTGAAATAAGAGGTTTCTGAGAGGAGAAAGCGCTGGTCAACACCTGCAATCTGCATTTCCTTTGTCAGCCTCTTGGTGGAGGCATTGTCACCAAACATTGAACATGCAGCTACAATATTAAGCAATTTTTACAACAAAATTTCCTATATTTCACTTAACTGAAACTACAGATATGATTGTTGAAATTTGTATAATTCGAATGTTTCTAATTTCATGTCGTGTAATTCTAATTTCAGCCCAGCACAAACCTCATATGTAATCTTTGATATTTTTTTCTCCTTCCTTCTTTCCTTAATAGATGTAAATACTGTGACCGTTCATTCAGCATCTCCTCCAACCTCCAGCGACACGTTCGTAACATTCACAACAAGGAAAAGCCTTTCAAGTGCCACCTTTGCAATCGCTGCTTCGGTCAACAGACCAACCTGGACCGCCACTTAAAGAAACATGAACACGAGAATATTCCAGGTAAAATCAATTTCCTTCTACATTTTCCTAATATTTCTTTTTGGTTATTTTTATTTTATTTTGAATGCAAATCTATGATGTTAATTGCCTTTTTCAGTTGAGGTAAATAATGCAATTTTAAAGATTAAATATTCTTTTATCTTATTTATTAGGAGGTGATTAGTGTTAAAATACCTTTCATAACCAATATATATATATATATATATATATATGCAATGAGTAAATAATAAACATAAACTTTAAGTTAGTAAATGTAAAAAGTATCACATGCAACTGTAGTTTTAAAGGGATAGTTTACCCGAAAACAAAAATTCTGTCATCATTTGCCCACCCTTTCTTCTGTTGAACTAAAAGGGAGATATTTTGACGAATGTTGACAGGCAGTTGACAGTAGCCAATGAACTATTTGATTACAGACATTCTTCAAAATATCTTCTTTTGTGTTCAGCAGAAAAAAAGAAATTCATACTGTTTTGGAGCAACAAATGGGAGAGTAAATAATGACAAGACATTCATTTTTGGGGGAACTATCCCTTTAAGGCTGCATACGTTCCGTCACTCTTTCTTATTTTATGAGTTATTTGGTAATACATTTCTCTGCTTATTTATTGTAGTGAGTCAGCAGTCTGGGATCCTCTCGAATTTAGGAACAAATATTTCCTCACCGAACTCTGAGTCTGACAATCATGCACTTTTGGATGAGAAGGAGGACTCGTATTTCTCAGAGATTAGGAACTTCATCTCCAATAGTGAGCTGAACCAGGCCTGTAGCTCCTCGGAGAAAAGGTACGAGCTCGCACACATGGACAGAATATGTTTTGAAACCATGGCAACAAACCTACTGTATAGAATCAGATTCAGACACGCTTGTCACGAAGCTACAGCCTGCCCTCTAGTTGAGGACTGTGGTACAGCCGTGTGTGTGAGTGAGTGAGCGCACGCGTGTGCATTACAAGCTTTGTCTTCAGTGGGCAGAGGGACGGGACATCTCAATGAGTCATTTCACCTTGTTGAGTTCTGTTCTGCATTAAGCACAGCCAGATACACATCAGGGAGCACATTCCATCGCCTTATGAAAACACCAAACAAAAGCTCATTACTGCCAAATTCATGAACCGTCAGCACGCCTGTCGGTGTGTGGCCAGGTTCACATCGCTTCAGGTTTTGGTTTGGGTACTGTGGAGTTTGATTAATGCAGACAAATGTGTACGAACAGATACATTGCGAAATACGTGAAAAAAGTCCTCCTCGATTTTTACCGGTTCCTCCACACTCCATGGTTCTGCCTCATCACTTGCTATGAGCTCTGCCGTGGACTGCCATCTGGGATCAATAGTCCTGTCCTGACTCGTACAAGCTGGCCTGGCATTTTAATATCTGTAATTCAAATAAGTGCTCTGTTTTGTCTCCCTGCAAATCGGCCTCACAGAAACACCCGCTTCAAATGGACAGGCAGCTGCAATATTCCCCTATGCGCTCATGCATCTTATTTCATGACGTTTGCCTGGTTCTCTCTCGTTTTCTGTCACTCTTGTGCAGCCAGTCTGCATTCATGGTGGAACGTCTTTTTTTCCCCCCGCTTTTAATTTCTTCTTCTGTCTTTGTTGCTCTGTAGGATATAATACAAAATGTAATATCTCATTTGTTTCCCCTATAAAGCAATGAGACGAGAAAGCAGTCTCCTGTCTCACATTTGCCTCTTTTAGAGTTTCAGAAGCTAACTTGTCGTTCTCTCAATGAGATATTACTGAGAACTCAATTATTTGGGCTAAATTATACACGCTCACTTTATCGCTCCATACAAGCTGAATGAGCTGTCTGACCTATCCTGTCCAATCCTGTTTTTTTTTTTGTTTGTTTTTTTTAAATAAATACAACCATTACGTCCTATTTATATTTTTCCGAAAGGATTTTTTTGAGAAACAATACAGTGGTTGATAGTCAAATAAGACCTGAGAACACCTGTCTGAGGCTATAATTTGATAAACAAATACATTGTCTCTTTTGTCAACAACAATTGCCATTTAATAAAAAAAACCATGTAAGACATGTTTGAAACTCAAATGAGAACACTCATCTGAGCTATGCTATCCAAATGATGTTTAAATAAAAACAATTGTCTCAGTTTTGTTTTTATTTCTCCTAAGGAGTATCATCCGAGACAGTTGAGACTTAAATGAGACATAACTGAGAAATCCATTATATGCGTAAGCTATGCTATCCAGACTAGGATTTTTAAATACTGCAAAGGCTTTAATTTCTGCTATTAGTGCATCTGAGACAAAGTTGTTACTCAAATGAGATACGACATCATCTGAATCATGCTATCCAAATTTTGAATTAAGTTAGCTTAAAGGACCAATTCACACAGAACACATTTTTACGTTACAAAATGCACAAGTTTTTAGAACTCTGGTAACTTGGACAATAATTCAGTGGAATTCTGCCTGAATGGCTCCTTATACTTTTACTGTCAACAATTATATTTTTTTTAACTCCTAAGGATGTTAGGAGAGACACCTCACTGAAGGGCTCCATTAAGTCTAATGAGAAATGAATGAGCAATTTGGTGCTAAAATTAAAAAATAAACAAAAAATTAGCAATTCTGAATACCACTCTTTTTCCACACGTTTCAGTTTATGGTGTCATTGCGCATACCTCTCTAAGTTGTTTTTCCTTCAGCGTTCTGAAACGAACTTCTATTATTGCAGACGATTGTCAAGTAAGGTGGGTGATTAAGCTATGTGAGGTGTAGACTCACCAAAACGAGAAAATAAAGGAACAACAACTTTTTATCTCGCAATTGCGAATTATAAAGTCAGAATTACGGAATATAAATGCAATTCTGACTTTTTTTCTTACAATTGCTAGTTAATATCTTGCAACTCTGACTTTTTCTCGCACTTTTGACTTCTTTAACTTTGAGAGTTGAGGAAAAAAATTGTGACATATCAGAAAAACATTTATATCTCACAATTCTGGCTTTATAACTCATAATTGGGATTTTAAAGTCAGAATTACGTTACATTAACTCCCAATTCTGACTTTTTTTCTCAAATCGCGTTATAAAAAGTTGCAATTGGAAAACAAAAAGTCGGAATTGTGCGATATAGTCTCAGAAAAACATTTATATCTCACAATTCTGGCTTTATAACCCATAATTGTGACTATTCATCATTCAATTCTGATTTAAAAAGTCCGAATTACATTACATTAACTCGAAATTCTGACTTTTTTTCTCAAATTTCGTGACAAAAAGTTGCAATTGGAAAAAAAAAAGTAGAATTGTGAGATATAGTCTCAGAAAAACATTTATATCTCACAATTCTGGCTTTATAACTCATAATTGGGATTTTAAAAAGTCAGAATTACGTTACATTAACTCCCAATTCTGACTTTTTTCTCAAATCGCGTGATAAAAAGTTGCAATTGGAAAAAAAAAGTCGGAATTGTGCGATATAGTCTCAGAAAAACATTTATATCTCACAATTCTGGCTTTATAACCCATAATTGCGACTATTCATCATTCAATTCTGATTTTAAAAAGTCCGAATTACATTACATTAACTCGCAATTCTGACTTTTTTTCTCAAATTTCGTGACAAAAAGTTGCAATTGGAAAAAAAAGTAGAATTGTGAGATATAATCTCAGAAAAACATTTTTATCTCACAATTCTGGCTTTATACCCCAATTGCGACTTTTCATCATTCAATTCTGATTTTAAAAAGTCAGAATTACGTTACTTTAACTCACAATTCTGACTTTTTTTCTCAAATCGTGTGATAAAAAGTTGCAATTGGAAAAAAAAAGTAGAATTGTGAGATATAGTCTCAGAAAAACATTTATATCTCACAATTCTGGCTTTATAACTCATAATTGCGACTTTTCATCATTCAATTCTGATTTTAAAAAGTCAGAATTACGTTACAGTAACTCGCAATTCTGACTTTTTTTCTCAAATCGCGTGATAAAAAGTTGCAATTGGAAAAATAAAAAGTCAAAATTGTGAGATAAAAATTCAGTGGCAGACGCAAGCTACTTCCTCAATGAATATCAGTGGAAAAAGATGTGATCTGTTCTCTTCACAATATACAGAGAGGCATGCTGGGGGTTTACCTGCAGCTGGGCTAATGCTGTTTGCAAGTGTGTGCGCCTGGTCTGTCTGAGTTTGACGGTCAGTCTGTAGGGGTCTGCAGGTTTAGCCCTATCAGGGGACCCTCAGACTGAGACATTTATCTGTGTGCTGCATTGACGGACCCCCCACCCCCCTCAAGCTAACGCAAACAGCGCTCTGACATGTTTAGACTGAGAGACAAAGCACAGGTCTGTGGCAGGACCGCTGCTGTCTCCCACGTGGCATGGACTTTCTCTCAGACCAGGGCAAATTTGATTATGGGATATTTAAGCATGATGGAAAATGGGAAACAAGCAGTTCTTCTTGTTCCCGTTTTTTTTCTGTTTTGGTAAGTCTACACCTCACATAGCTTAACCACCCACCTTCCCGGCGCTCTCGACATTCGTCTGCTTTAATAGACGCTCGCTTCAGAGCGCTGAAGTAAAAACGACTTTGGAGGGGTATGCGCAATGACATCATGAACTGAAATGTTTGGGAAAAGAGTGGTAGTGGAACGGCGCGGTGCTGATAGCTGCTTCGCAGAACAACCGGTTTCTCTGGAACTCAGTGGCAATGAGACAAACCATGATGAGTGCCGCTGACCCGTCTAGCTCGCTCTGTCTCGCCTCTCCGAAATTAGCCAATTCATCATTGCCACGCTCGCAAGGAACGTCTGTCATTAATTGCAAAACCTGTGTGTTTGTCATTCGTGGATCTGTGTTTTCGAGCTCGGGCCAGGCAGGGGGAATTACAGCCCAATCCAAAATGATGGATGGCAACCCAGAGACCGGCGTAGCACTGATATTTGGCAGTCAGATTATGATGAGAGAATTACCTCAATGGACCCTCAGGGTGAAAATAGTTATTTATCTGATTTTTTTTGTGGAGGTGTCATTAGATGTCATAGTCATGTCCCGAAGACATAAAAACTCATCACCAGTGGCCATTAGAAATCTGGTGTCACTTCAGTCCTTCAGGGATATGTAAAGCGTGTGTGTGTGTGTGTGTGGCTCTTGCCGGAATTGAAAGGTTTTTCAAGTTTATTCCCAAGTTGGTTGAAACTTGGACAGGAAAATGCAAGATGATAGCTTTCAACATGAAAAATAAGCACTGAATTGCCGACAAAAGGACATAAAACAGAAGCCGTCTTCTGCTATGGATACTGTTTCACTCAAAAAAATAACTGAATATTTCATTTCATGGTGAAAACGATTATTCTTTTTGAAATAAAAAAGTTTGCTGTAGTTTGTAGTCATATTTAAGTTTGCTGTAGCATGTAGTAACATGCATATGTAGCCATATATCTCCCATCCACCCACACAATTTATGGAATTTAAACTGAAAAAAGGTTCAGAAATCACATTGCAAAAAATAATTTTCATTGATTCATTTTTCCAGAACAATATCCGTTCAGTATCCTTAAAACAAGATATATTTACATGAGAAAAAAAATTCTGATTATCTGAAAACAAGTTTTGGAGATGTATTTTATTATTATTATTATTATTTTACTGAAATCAAACTGAAATTTTTATTTTATTTTATTTTATTTTTTTTTATTGTTTTCTTTTTTGCTGTGCAATGGCATATGACCTTCCCTGTTTACATATCAACAGACATTTTGTATTCAAAATCAAAGTATTCAAATAGGTATTTGTACTCATTTTGTTTGCAAAGAGCTTAGCCAGTAAAAACAGAAGTTGTTTGCATGAAGACATGTTAAAGGTCCAGCAGTGAAAGATGTCATATGTAAAACTAAACGAGGACTGTTTGTTATTACAGGTCAGAGCTGACAGAGGAAGAGCATCCTCAGAGTCACACTCACATTGCCTCCAAACTGGAGGAGGAGGAAGAGGAGATGGAGGGCGATGATGAAGACGAGGAAGGCTCGTTGACAGAGAAGTCTCAGGACGAGACGGCCTCTCCCGCCACTATGGTGCAGGGCACTTACGACGAGGATGAGGAGCCCACCCCTCTCCCTATGTCTTACGAACACACGCGCAGGTCAGCACAACACATCTGTCTGTCTGATTTAAGAAAAGATTAAAAGCCACTCTCACTTAAATGAACACTCATTTTTTAAAGATGTAAAAATGTAGATCATACGGTCGGCACGGATACGCCTTTTCGAGCCGTTTACTGCAATATGATGCTTTTGTGACATTGGCAATTACTATGTTAGTTTGTTTGTTTGGAGTAATATTGCACTGATGAAATATTTCTGATAAGACCAGAAACGTTAAGTGGGTCGATTTAGACCTCATGTTAAATTTAAAAAAGTCGAATGAAGTATGAATAGTGTAATCTATATTATTTATGGTAACACTTTACAATAAGGTTCATTAGTTAACATTAGTAAATGCATTAACTAACATGAACTAACGATGAGCAATGCATTAGTTACAGTGTTTATTAACCCTTTGTTAATGTTAGTTAATACAAATACAGCTGTTCATTGTGCGTTCATGTTAGTTCACAGTCCATTAACTAATGTTAACTAATACAACCTTTGATTTTAATAACGTATTAGTAAATGTTGGAATTAATATTAACTAAGATGAATAAATGCTGAAGAAGTATTGTTCACTATTGTACATGTTAACTAATGAACCTTATTGTAAAGTGTTACCTTATTTATTACTAATAAATTAATTATTTTAATTAGCAAGGATGACTCATTAAATTGATCAAAAGAGACAGTGAAGTCATTCATACTGAAGATTTATCTTTCAATTAAATGCTGTTCATTCAACATTTTCTACAGAAATCATGAAAAGATTGATCACCTTTTCCATAAAAATCTAAAAATATTTTTAACATTATAATTATGAAGCACCAACAATTGTTGAGCATCAAATCCGCATATAACAAATGATTTCTGAAGGATCATGCGACACTAAAACTGGAGTAATGATTACAGTTAGGTATATAGATACATATACAGTACATATAAAAATATTTTAAATTGTAACAATATCTCATAATATTAATGTTTTTATTGTATTTTTGAACAAATAAATGCAACCTTGGTACTTATAAGAGTACTTAAAAAAACTGTTTCATTCAAAAAGATATTCAAATGTATCCCAAACAAACACAATCATCCTGTTTACCTACCGTTTTGAATGCCACTAAATTTACATTTTTCTATTCGATTTTGGTCGAGTGTTCATTTAAGAAGATCAGAAGTTTTGTACAGAATATTGACTGTAACAAAAGAACAATGTGCCTCCAATGCTACAGTATATCTCTGTTCCAAAACCAAGTGAGCTGCATAGACGATGGAAAAAAAACCTCTTCCAGAAGATATTTTCAAATCTATTCACTTGATATGCTGCCTTTGAAGCCACAAGAGAGTTGCTCATGTAGACAGCAAAGCAGCTCACCAGGGGTGCGTTTCCCGAAAGCCAACTATGGTCCATCATTATCAGCATAGTTCAAGGAGTAAGTGTTTCCCTGAACCATAGATCTTCGTAACATTCCCAAACAGCATCGCAAAGTTGAGTGTTTTGAACGTCAGCTTTCGACCTGTGGTTAGAAGCAGTTTCTTGTTTGCATGTGGACTCAATAAATCCTTATCTTGAGCCAAATAAGCAAGCTGACATTCAGTACAATCTATATATATATATATATGAAGAGTTCAGATGCAAAAGCCTCTAAATGCCATTTGAAATGTTCTTCTTTAATGATGATTTTTATCAAACTTGTATATTTAAGTTCAGTAATTTCACTTGAATAACAATTAATAGGTAATTATCATTGTCATTTAAGTGAAATCACTGAACTTAAATATACAAGCTTGATAAAAAATTATCATTCTAGAAGAAAATTTCAAATGGCACTTAGAGGCTTTTGCATCTGAACTCTTCATATATATATATATATATATATATATATATATATATATATATATATATTATATATATTATATATTTTATTTATAATACATACTAATGTAATTTCCATCTGTCAAGGGATTTAATGTGCGAACGTGCTCTAGTACGCAACGAGCCTATGATTGAATCTGTAAATAAAGCAAAATAACTGAAAAAAATGAGTATTTTCCCTTAAATGCATGTCTGTAGTTTTAGCAACAACAAAAAATCTAGCATTAGCTCTATCTAATAAAGATTCATTAAAAGAAGTTAACCAAATTTGCGACAATATGGTTCAGGGAAACAGTCGTGACTAGCTAGTTGATTTCTTCAACGTTGCCTCGTACTAGTTTAGCATCGAGTTACGTCGTTGTGCGGGAAACACACCCCAGATTGAGGAACAGAGTGTCTGTGTAAAACGTCCATTGTCGCTAACACTTTAGAGTACGGTTCCTTCGTTAATGACTAACTACACAAGAACCAATGAGTAACACAATATTAACAATTTATTATTAACTAACAAGAAACTCTGATTAACGAACTAGTAAGTAATAGCGCACAGGTGAAAGTGGTAGTTCACTATTAACTAATCAATAACTACTGTTTTTTAATACTTCACAGAGAACTACTGAAAAAGTTTATTAACAATCTAGTAACTACTATTAACTAAAAGAAATTCTTATTAACTAATTAGTAAGTAATAGCTCACAGATGACAGTGTTATTAGATACTTCTGTGGGAATTACTAATTATTTGGATTCGTATTACAGTATAAAGTGAAGACCATGGGAACTAACTAGTAATTACTCAAGTTTTACTAAAGACATTTTCTAAAAGTACACTAAAATTCACCAAAAATCTCAAATGCTTGCACAAATCATGACTAGATCATGTAGTAACACTTGAGTAATTACTAGTTAGTTCCAATGATCTTCACTTTATAATACGTATCCGAATAATTAGTAATTCCCACTGAAGTAACTAGTAACACTTTTATCTGTGTGCTATTACTTACTAATTTGTTAATAATTGTTTTTTTTAGTTAATAGATTGTTAATAAACTTTTTCAGTAGTTCTCTGGGAAACATTCAAAAAAAAAGTAGTTATTGATTAGTTAATAGTGAACTACCACTTTCATCTGTGCGCTATTACTTACTAGTTCGTCAATCAGAGTTTCTAGTTAGTTAAAGGGTTAGTTCACCCAAAAATGAAAATAAAGTCATTAATTACTCACCCCCATGCTGTACCAACCCCGTAAGACCTTCGTTCATCTTCGGAACACAAATAAAGATATTTTTGATTGAATCTGAGAGCTGGATCAGTCCTACATAGAATGCCTAAGGGACTGGCTCTTGACGGCCCATAAAGTCATTAAAGAAAAGGTTTAAATATTCTATGTGCCTACAGCGGCTCAATTATAAGTTTATCAAGCGACGAGACTACTTTTTGTGCGAAAAAAACATAAATAACGACTTAATTCGACTATTCTATTACATCCTTATGGGCGCATGCGCAAGAACTGAGACGAGGACGTTCTTCTCCTTCGACTACTTTTTGTTACCGGCTGCTCCGCTTAGGAGTATTACCGCCACCTACCGTATAAAATGATGATCCATATATAAGGCGCTCCGGATTATAAGGAACACTGTCATTTTTTGAGAAGATTAAAGGCTTTTAAGTGCACCTTGTAGTGCGGAAAATACGCTAATTGAAAAGCGTATGTACAGGGCAGATCTTCCTCTGCTTGTAAACAGAAAGTTTTGCGCTTCCAGCTATATCAGCACATCATCTTATACGGTAGGTGGCGGTAATACTCCTAAACGGAGCAGCCGGTAACAAAAAGTAGTCGAAGGTGAAACGTCCTCGTCTCAGTTCTTGCGCATGCGCCCATAAGGAAGTAATGGAATAGTGGAATAAAGTCGTTATTTATGTTTTTTTTTCGCACAAAAAGTAGTCTCGTCGCTTGATAAAGTTATAATTGAGCCGCTGTAGGCACATGGAATATTTAAACCTTTTCTTTAATGACTTTATGGGCCGTCAAGAGCCAATCCCTTAGGCATTCTATGTAGGACTGATCTAGCTCTCAGATTCAATCAAAAATATCTTTATTTGTGTTCCGAAGATGAACGAAGGTCTTACGGGGTTGGTACAGCATGGGGGTGAGTAGTAATTAATGACTTAATTTTCATTTTTGGGTGAACTAGCCCTTTAATAATAGTTGCTAGATTGTTAATATTGTGTTACTCATTGGTTCTTGTGTAGTTATTCATTAACGAAGGAACCGTATTCTAAAGTGTTACCTCATTGTCTCCCATAGTGTTTACTACTGTGATACTCATTGTCTGTCAGTCCTCATGCAATAACTAACGCAACTAATCATCTGTCAGTGCATGTGTGTTTAATCATTGAAACTTTGGTTTGCCTAAACAAAGAAAAAAAAATGATCAATTTAACAGTTTCCTGCAATTTTGCACACGTGCAATGAGCGTCCAGTTCTGTTGCATTTCGGTTCACTTTTTCGCCTAATGTTGGAATGCCACTGGCATCTTAATGTTTCAATGGTCAATATTTCGTGGCATATTTTATTCAAGGGCAAGTGTTTCCCAGCATCTCGTTTAATTCTGCATGGACAGAGAGATGGACAGAGAGAACACCAAAGCTGTGTCCATTTGTTTTGTGCTTTCATCCGCCAGTGTGATGACCCACCTATATTTTTTCATGTCCCGTCACCATCTCATCCACTGCATGCTGCATAAATGCATCCAGTTCCAGTTTTTTTAGATTTGAATTTGCGGGCTAACTGAGGGTCCCCTCCCCTCTCCACACCCCCGGCCCCCTCCCCCTCCCCCCTTCCTGGTACAGGTGTATTGAGGAGGATGCAGGCCTATTAGATCTGGAACCTCTGGCTGGTTTCCCCAAAGGCCTGGAATTCCATAAGGCTGGCGAGGAGCCATATGACATTAAAGACATTTTTAGCCCCTCGGTAGAGTCGGAGGCGCTGAAAGAAACTCTTTTCAGGCAGGCTAAAACACAGGTATGTGACTGTACCTGCTCCAGAGTGCTTGCACTATGCCATGAGCCCATGTCTTACGTTATGTTACGTTGAGAGAAGGACACGCCGTTAAAGAGCCTCTTATCAATATGGACACAGTTTTTTTTAGTTTGGCCTTTATTCCCCAACCATTTGGTAGACTCTGTCAGAAAAGCCAATGGAAAACTAAAATAAATAAATTAAATTGAAATATTTTTAGTCAAGTTGATATTAAATATCTAATATTTTATATACAATTTCAATTGACAATAATAATTTTATATTTTTTCATGATATATATATATATATATATATATATTGGAATTACTGCAATAGCCCATGCAGAAAAAGATGTTATAATATAACTACATGCAACTTATGCACTACCTAATCATCGTCATTTTTATTTTGTTTTATACAGAAAATGTTCAATGTTGGTACAAATATTAACTGAATGATATTAACATAACTAACACTATTAGCTTTCTGTATCATTACTTTGTATATCTAACTTTAAATTGTCTTCTGGTCTCAACATTTCATGTGGAGTTGTTACATGTCTTATATGTGTGAACCCAGTTGTTAAAGGAGAACTCTGGGTCTAATAAAACATCGTTACCTAGTCAACCATTCTCTGAGATTTGTTTTCATGATAATCAAATGTAAAGAGTTTTATCTCTAAAAACTGTTTAGCGTATAATGCTAGTACTGGGGACATAATAAATCGCTAGTTTATAGGCTCAAAATAGCCCCACACTAACACAGTAACATAATAAGGGTGCGTACATGCAAAACGAAGCATTGAGAACTTTGTAAGTGTACAGACCGTTTAATAAGAAGATACTTTATGAAGACAGTTCACTTCGCATATACAGGCAGGAGCCATCTTAGAAAATAGTCTCGATAAGTCAATCCCCGAACGCCGTTCATACAGTTCAGCTCACTCAGCACGACGTTCGTGGTTTGACTTGTCGTGACTGTTTTCCAAAGATGGCGCCGCGTGGACACGAAGTGATCTGTCTGTATAAAGTATATTCTTATTAAACGGTCTGCACACTTACAAAGTTCTCAATGCTTAGTTTTGCATGTAGGGACCCTCATTATGTTACTGTGTTAGTATGGGGCTATTTTGAACCTTGTTAGTGGTATAAACTAGCGATTTCTTTTTACTTATTATATGCCCCCAGTACTAGCATTATACGCTAAACAGTTTTTAGAGATAAAACTCTTTACATTCGATTATCATGAAAACAAATCTCAGAGAACGGATGTTTTATTAGACCAAATGTTCATTTTGCACCGGAGTTCTCCTTTAATATTGTTTATTGGCACGAAAATGATTTGGAATCCATTATGTTTGTCTAATGATTTAATGATTCCCAAAAACTGATGTTTTTAAACTCACATACTGCTATTTATTTATTCATTTTGAGTATTCAATCAGCAGCTGAAAATAACAGCACATGGATTTGGAATGAAAATGGGTAAAAATTTGATGTGCGCTTTGGTTCTGAGGTGAAACGCTCCTTGTTTTCTTCATCCAGGCTTATGCAATGATGCTCTCTCTGTCTGAGAACGCCAATCTGCATTCATCCTCCCAGAACTCCTTGGACGCCTGGCTCAACATGGGAGGAGGGCCGTCGGAAACCAGCTCCTTTCACCCCCTCAACAACATCTGAGAGCAAGAACAAGACAAAAGAGTGATCAGAAGAGATGGAGGGAGAAAGGAGGAGATGGGAGGAGAGACCAACATGAAGACCAGCAATGCCACAGTTGATGAACCACCACTATGCGCATAAGGAGGAGAACGTACTGTTAAGCGATACAGACACAGGAACCAATCATAGATGGGAGAGTTTTATTACACAAGAATGAAATCAACCAATCCCAGCCATACAGCATCTTTCCTGTCTGCAACTAGCAACTATAGCGAGTTCTCTCCTCAGCAGCTGAATCAAGAGGATGCATTCGAAAAAGACTCGAAAATCACCTCATTTTCAATTATATGCATTTCACTGAGACTGCTCTCAAGGGTGTTTTTTTTACCATGTTCTCGGAGAAGCCCAAGCCGGGGTTGACTGGACAGGGTAGTTGATGTGTTTCTTCAACTGGAGATTTTAACCGTTTCTATACAGCATTCCATTCTCAAGTTGATTTTCTACAGCACTGTACCAAGGTTTCCTTTATAGTAACTCACAGCCGAAGTCTTACAGTAGATCATTAGTGTAGACATCAACATTGATTTCCAATGGCAATAGAAGCACTTAAGTCTAGCCCGCAACTAGCATGCTAACTCTCCCCCAAGGCTGACCGAGTCTCTAAAAGTCTATGCTGGAGGTCACCGGGTCAGATAAAAGCGGTCAAATCTTCATATGATACATCACGCAGCATGGTTGCTCATTTGTATAGCATCATCGTCATTGTAATTATTGTTGTTATGGTAAGTATTTGAGCTGTATACAGGCCTTAGTCTCAACTAAACGTTTGTTTTTAAGAGTTAAATTATTCTCCAGTGGGGCAATTGGAAAAATGGTTTCTCCTTCTTCTTGAATTCAGTAATATTATGATTTTTTTTTTGTTCCTTGGTAAACAGTATTGTTTCTTTTTGAGCACACCTGTGCTCAAATGTTAATATAATTCTTTAGTGAAGGACCAAATTTGTACAATATTGTTGTATGATATACAAACTAAGTTAACAGTTGGTAGCAGAGAGTGTTGTGTGCCAAATAACCCCCTTTTCTTTGACAATCATTTCTTTCCCAAGTGGTCGTCTCCACTGTTAGTAGTTTTTTTTTTTCTTCCTCTGTTGTTGCTACTTACATTGATGAGTGTTTGTCTTTTATTTATTTTTACTTAGATTGTTTTTTTTTTTTTTATTAATGAAAAAATGAAGAAAACAATGTTTTACCCACTCTTTTGAAGGAATGAAATTACTGAAATATCATGGAAATTCTCAAATGTTTAAGCTCTTTGTAGAAAAGAAAGTTGCCAAAATTTGAATTACAAAAGACTGTTTCCTTTATGAGCACATAATCATGAAGTCTTTTTCAACCATTTAGAAATGTAGGCACTGCGTGATTTAAAAGAAATAATGTAATTAAAATATCAGGTACCTCAAATAGAGGGGCATTATATTTTGACATTTTTACACATTTTATCACTCATAGTTAAACATATTCATAAAAAATGGGTCAACAGTATATCTCTGGGTTCAAATTGCATGTTTCTCATGTCCCATTATTTTGTCAGCTGGTCCTAAATATCATATCAAATTCGACATAATTCAAATACTTAATATTGTTTGCATACCAAAAAAAGACACCGCAAGTGAGAGGCTACAATGGGATTGTGATTAAATGGCGAGCGACAACATTTAATGTTCACAAGAGCGTAGAGGCCCAAAGACCACGAATACACACACGACACGAGTCCTTATCCAACTTCTCTGAACTGTGAAGCCAGCGAATGAATCGTAAACAGCTGAATGCATATCATGAATGTGTAGAGTAGATTTAATATGTAGGTTGAGTCAAACTTCATAAAGTTAACTTCTCTTGATTGAATGTCTTTTTGGTCAGGATTTCATACCTTTACTTCCTCTCCACTTGTTTTTGGATGTTAAAAAGACTCTACGTTCTCTGGAATCAGCACTTAGATCAACACACAACCCTGTCTGCCTAACACATACTTTCCTTTACATCTGAGCTCTTAACTTAGTACTGATTTTAATGACATGTTTCCAAGCAAGGCTGGTTTTAACAAGCACTTTAACTCATGGGTCAAACAGGCCATTTTATCAGATGCTTTAGAATAAAACAGCATAGAATATCCAGTTTTTAACATTTACGAATGTTCAGTTTTCACTGCGAACACAAACACAAGATTGATTCGGCTGGCCTTTCACAGGGAATCTGCTTGATAATGCGCACTATTATCCTGTTTCATACCGTATCTCCTCACTATATAATTTACTCAAATCCTTGAGTAAAAAGCCTGTGGGATGCATAAGATTTCTAGGGATGTAATGGAATTATGAGTATGAAGTCATGTCACATACTACTGTACTTAGCGAGCGCTGTAGGTGAAGAAATTGACCCACACTGTTAAAATCATCATGAAAATGGTCAACAAATTAGCAATGCAGATCTTCTTGGGCCACTGTTACGTTACAAACAAACATTTCAAAATCCATAAATAATGTGGTTTCTCGAAAAAAAAAAAAAAAAAAAGTGTATAGTATTTCGAAAAAATAACATTGATATGTCCGAAAGTTCATTTTAAACATGGGTTTGAAAATAGATGGTGCTCGTTTCATTTGGATATGAGTTGTATATTGCTTCTGTTATGTTTATTAAAAAAATATTGTGCATGACTTGTGTTTTAGAGGTCATAATGGTGTCCATTTGTGAAATGTGTATCTTAAATTAAAAAGTAAAAAATAATAATAAAAAAAAAACAATGAATTTGTAGATGCACTTATTGTACATGTGGTTAGGTTAGTAGGTTTGACTTTAAGTCCTGTTTACTGCCTTAAATACTATGGGCAGATGGTTATTGAACTGAACAATATGCTTGTGGGAGAGAAATAATGACAAAATTTAAGGATTGTAGAATAATACTGAAAATTCTGAAATTCTGAAGTTCTTTTTTGATGCTTGTGATTACTGAAGATGTACTTTAGGGCAATTTCATGGAAAAGACATGATTCTGATGTTAATTCTGTAGAATAGATATGTATACCAAATGTAATCTTTCCAATGCTATGAAGAATTTATACATGAAATTGATATGCAATAAAAACCTGTGTGCTTTTTATATGAATGTTTTTTTCCCTCTTAATCCTGTAGATGTCATCCATGAGGAAGACAGTTGAGAAAATGTCCAAAGTGTGCAGAGCAGAATTTCAATAAATTCACATTAAGGGATGTGATGTCACCAGAACCTCAAAGGCTAAGAGAATAAAGATTTCATGCGTGCTCCATTCTGACTCCAGCAAAACATCATAGTACAGTATGTTTACCCTACCCCTAATCTGAGGATAAGATATTGGTAACACTTTACAATAAGGTTCATTAGTTAACATTAGTAAATGCATTAACTAACATGAACTAACGATGAGCAATGCATTAGTTACAGTGTTTATTAATGTTAGTTAATACCAATACAGCTGTTTATTGTGCGTTCATGTTAGTTCACAGTCCATTAACTAATGTTAACTAATACAACCTTTGATTTTAATAACATATTAGTAAATGTTGGAATTAATATTAACTAAGATTAATAAATGCTGAAGAAGTATTTTTCACATTTTGTACATGTTAACTAATGTAGTTAACCAATGTTAACTAATGAACCTTATTGTAAAGTGTTACCAAGATATTTAATATTTTCAGATTTTATGCTTATTTGGCAGTCCAGAAGATTGCTAATTGATGAAGAACAGGTTTATAGAACAGAACTGTATTCTCTGAAGGGATTTATGACCCCAGAAGAACAGTGAGCATTTCAATTATTGCTCAATTACAATATTTACATGTGAATTTAACATGTTGATGGTGCTTGGGGATTTTACTCAGCCCATTCTCACCCCCAAGGTGTCACCTAACTTGGGAAGCATTTGACCATGCTTCAATATCTGACGCTTTAGGCGCCCTTTAGCGTCAGTTGCATGACGCCCTAGTATCGCGTGTACCCCACCCCCACCCCAGACCCAAACCTAACCGCGTCCTCTAACTGACGCTAAAGGGCGCCTAAAAAAATGCGTTGTTTTACTTCATTTTTGATCAAATCAATGCAGCAGGACGTAAGTCCTTTGCTGCGGCCTCCGAAGAAAACAAACAGCTGCCCTGATTGCCGAAACTGAGCGCTCAAAGGCTCTACACTTTCAAGGCCCTTACGGGACAGAGTGGATGGAGTGTCTGTTCACTTACTGTTAACGGCAGAGCTAACAGCGCCATCACCTACGTTCCGAATGGGGTGCACAAAGCCTTTTTCCGGCCTAAGGACCACTCCACTCTGCAAGGTTCCACAGATAGAGCCTTTAAAGGGGTGGTTCAGAATTTTGGACATCAAGTGAGCCGTAGTGCTATTTATCAGTGGAGACAGTTTTAAAAAAAATTCATCAGTCGTCCAGGTTGCGTAGTTCACCGGTGCTAGCTAGCGCGAGTCAACCTTAACTTTTAGCATGCCATTAAAAACAGTTTTACCCACTCCACAGTAGACCAAAAGCAAATCAATTATAACAGCAGACATTCTCATTTTGACCATGCTTAAATATCCGATGCTTTAGGCACCCTTTTGCGTCAGTTAGATGACGCCCTAGGATCGCGTCTAACCCTTACCCTACCCCAGACCTAAACCTACCCGCATCATGTAACTGACGCTAAAGGTATAGCGTCAGTTATGGCTCGTTTCCACTGAGTGGTACGGTACAAATTAAAAATGGAAAATACTGTGGAAAAATTTAGTATCCCCAATCTTCTCAAAACTCTGGATTCTGATAGAGGGCCACGAGACTTAGACCTGAGTGCAACAATGGAGGCTCTAGACCCTTCCAGAGCTGAGATATCGAAAATCAAAATTTCGACCCGTAAAAAAAACGACAGTGTTACCCCTTACGTTTTTTTTTTTTGGGCGAAAAATTAAGTATCCCCAATCTTCTCAAAACTCTGGATTCTGATAGAGGGCCATGAGACTTAGACCTGAGTGCAACAATGGAGGCTCTAGACCCTTCCAGAGCTGAGATATCGAAAATCAAAATTTCGACCCGGAAAAAAAACCGACAGTGTTACCCCTTACGTTTTTTTTGGGCGAAAAATTTAGTATTCCCAATCTTCTCAAAACTCTGGATTCTGATAGAGGGCCATGAGACTTAGACCTGAGTGCAACAATGGAGGCTCTAGACCCTTCCAGAGCTGAGATATCGAAAATCAAAATTTCGACCCGTAAAAAAAACGACAGTGTTACCCCTTACGTTTTTTTTTTGGGCGAAAAATTAAGTATCCCCAATCTTCTCAAAACTCTGGATTCTGATAGAGGGCCATGAGACTTAGACCTGAGTGCAACAATGGAGGCTCTAGACCCTTCCAGAGCTGAGATATCGAAAATCAAAAATTTCGACCCGAAAAAAAAAACGACAGTGTTACCCCTTACGTTTTTTTTTTTGGGCGAAAAATTAAGTATCCCCAATCTTCTCAAAACTCTGGATTCTGATAGAGGGCCATGAGACTTAGACCTGAGTGCAACAATGGAGGCTCTAGACCCTTCCAGAGCTGAGATATCGAAATTCAAAATTTCGACCCGAAAAAAAAAACGACAGTGTTACCCCTTACGTTTTTTTTTGGGGGGTGAAAAATAAAGTATCCCCAATCTTCTCAAAACTCTGGATTCTGATAGAGGGCCATGAGACATAGACCTGAGTGCAACAATGGAGGCTCTAGACCCTTCCAGAGCTGAGATATCGAAAATCAAAAATTTCGACCCGAAAAAAAAACGACAGTGTTACCCCTTATGTTTTTTTTGGGGCGAAAAATTAAGTATCCCCAATCTTCTCAAAACTCTGGATTCTGATAGAGGGCCATGAGACTTAGACCTGAGTGCAACAATGGAGGCTCTAGACCCTTCCAGAGCTGAGATATCGAAAATCAAAATTTCGACCCGAAAAAAAAAAGACAGTGTTACCCCTTACGTTTTTTTTTTTTGGGCGAAAAATTAAGTATCCCCAATCTTCTCAAAACTCTGGATTCTGATAGAGGGCCATGAGACTTAGACCTGAGTGCAACAATGGAGGCTCTAGACCCTTCCAGAGCTGAGATATCGAAACTCAAAATTTCGACCCGAAAAAAAAAACGACAGTGTTACCCCTTACGTTTTTTTTTGGGGGCGAAAAATTAAGTATCCCCAATCTTCTCAAAACTCTGGATTCTGATAGAGGGCCATGAGACTTAGACCTGAGTGCAACAATGGAGGCTCTAGACCCTTCCAGAGCTGAGATATCGAAAATCAAAAGTTCGACCCGAAAAAAAAAACGACAGTGTTACCCCTTACGGTTTTTTTTTGGGCGAAAAATTAAGTATCCCAATCTTCTCAAAACTCTGGATTCTGATAGAGGGCCATGAGACTTAGACCTGAGTGCAACAATGGAGGCTCTAGACCCTTCCAGAGCTGAGATATCGAAACAAAAATTTCGACCCGAAAAAAAACGACAGTGTTACCCCTTACGTTTTTTTTTGGGGGGCGAAAAATTAAGTATCCCCAATCTTCTCAAAACTCTGGATTCTGATAGAGGGCCATGAGACTTAGACCTGAGTGCAACAATGGAGGCTCTAGACCCTTCCAGAGCTGAGATATCGAAACTCAAAATTTCGACCCGAAAAAAAATGACAGTGTTACCCCTTACGTTTTTTTTTTGGGCGAAAAATTAAGTATCCCCAATCTTTTCAAAACTCTGGATTCTGATAGAGGGCCATGAGACTTAGACCTGAGTGCAACAATGGAGGCTCTAGACCCTTCCAGAGCTGAGATATCGAAATTCAAAATTTCGACCAGAAAAAAAACGACAGTGTTACCCCTTACGTTTTTTTTGGGGTGAAAAATTAAGTATCCCCAATCTTCTCAAAACTCTGGATTCTGATAGAGGGCCATGAGACTTAGACCTGAGTGCAACAATGGAGGCTCTAGACCCTTCCAGAGCTGAGATATCGAAAATCAAAATTTCGACCCGAAAAAAAAACGACAGTGTTACCCCTTACGTTTTTTTTTTGGGCGAAAAATTAGTATCCCCAATCTTCTCAAAACTCTGGATTCTGATAGAGGGCCATGAGACTTAGACCTGAGTGCAACAATGGAGGCTCTAGACCCTTCCAGAGCTGAGATATCGAAAATCAAAAGTTCGACCCGAAAAAAAAACGACAGTGTTACCCCTTACGTTTTTTTTTTTTGGGCGAAAAATTAAGTATCCCCAATCTTCTCAAAACTCTGGATTCTGATAGAGGGCCATGAGACTTAGACCTGAGTGCAACAATGGAGGCTCTAGACCCTTCCAGAGCTGAGATATCGAAAATCAAAATTTCGACCCGAAAAAAAAAACGACAGTGTTCCCCTTACGTTTTTTTTTTTTGGGCGAAAAATTAAGTATCCCCAATCTTCTCAAAACTCTGGATTCTGATAGAGGGCCATGAGACATAGACCTGAGTGCAACAATGGAGGCTCTAGACCCTTCCAGAGCTGAGATATCGAAACTCAAAATTTCGACCCGAAAAAAAAACGACAGTGTTACCCCTTACGTTTTTTTTTTTTGGGCGAAAAATTAAGTATCCCCAATCTTCTCAAAACTCTGGATTCTGATAGAGGGCCATGAGACTTAGACCTGAGTGCAACAATGGAGGCTCTAGACCCTTCCAGAGCTGAGATATCGAAATTCAAAATTTCGACCAAAAAAAAAAACGACAGTGTTACCCTTACGTTTTTTTTTTTTTGGCGAAAAATTAAGTATCCCCAATCTTCTCAAAACTCTGGATTCTGATAGAGGGCCATGAGACATAGACCTGAGTGCAACAATGGAGGCTCTAGACCCTTCCAGAGCTGAGATATCGAAAATCAAAATTTCGACCCGAAAAAAAAACGACAGTGTTACCCCTTACGTTTTTTTTTTTGGGCGAAAAATTAAGTATCCCCAATCTTCTCAAAACTCTGGATTCTGATAGAGGGCCATGAGACTTAGACCTGAGTGCAACAATGGAGGCTCTAGACCCTTCCAGAGCTGAGATATCGAAAATCAAAATTCGACCCGAAAAAAAAAAACGACAGTGTTACCC